TCGTCAAACTGAGAAAAATGGATGTGTTATAACGTAAATGATAAAAATGGATAAGCGGACCATCTATATATATATATATACATATATATATATATATATTTATATAAGAAGAGAAATCCGCAAATCTACATAGATGGTCCGCTTACCCATTTTTATCATTTACGTTATAACACATCCATTTTTCTCAGTTTGACGATAATAAAAGATTCATAACCTGTACAATACATCGCAATAAAGTAAATAAAATAGATCTTGTGCGGTAAGTGCGGTGCAGCTTGAAGATCGAACAGATTTCACTCACGAGGGCAGGTTTCACAAAAGCAAAGGGACACGATAATCGTATCATGGGATCCACTTTTTTCAATTTTCCTATTAAAAGTAGTTCACATTCGGTGAAGCGCTCAGTGTAGCTTCAAAAGGTACGGGCACACCTTGGTATGTCTACACTGAGTCTCTCGCGTGAACGTCAACCACACCGAGAGACGGGAACAAAGTAAAAGGGTTAGTATTTTAAATTCATTGTTATTCAGGTGCATTGAGATTCACACCAATCAGGGGAAACAAACAGATAAAATGTTTAAACAGTCCCACGGAGCTCATAATGAGAACACAAATTGGCAAACAAGCTCGTTTTCAGATAAAAAAAACAAACAGATAACCAGGGTGATAGGACACAGCAGGATTCGAGAACGGCACACAAGAAAAATTAAAAAAGGTTGAACTGGCACGTGATAGTAGATGCAGATATTCTCGTGAGCGAAAGGAAGTGAGAGAGAGATCGGGTGCATTAGGAAAGCCTTACCTCACTTAATAATCGTTTCAGTTTAAGCAGGGTCACTTTAATACCCTGCAGTTCTTGAACCATCTGGCGTTGTTCACTGGCTAAGAGTACACACGTCCGTTCGCCCAGATGTGTATTTGCGGACAGATCCTCGGGGTCATTGGAACCGAGGGCAGTATTACTGGAGGTGGTGGATGAGATGGATGCGGATCGATAGCGACCGGGAATAGAGCGGAGACGTCTTGAGGCGGGAAAAGAGCGCGGGAGACATGATGAGGTGATTCAAACAAAAAGGTTGTACCATAGTAAAATTTGGAATACATACATATTATATTTTGAAAATTAAAAAATGCCAAATCTATGCTGAATGAGGCCTCAGTGAGCATAATTCAATTTTGAGAAAGACTCATTGAACATGCCTTTTCTCACACGGAAAACGAATTTGAGTCTTTATTCACAAAACCGCAAATACAGTTAAATGGGTAACAGAGAGTAGAGAAACGGACATTGTTATCTAAGTAGTTTAAATAGTGGTATCGTCCTATCAACACAATCTTGATACAGAGAGATAAAAAGCAATCAACACAGGTATTTACCCGCTAAATCCATCTGGTAGCTAGTGTAACGAAACACAATTCCATATACTGTATATATTCCAAATGAAAAACGGTTTGATCAACTACCGAGGGCTTAGTGGGTAGCATGCTTGCATTCTGTCTACGAGGTCCCGGGTTCGATTCCCAGTTGAATCGATGGATTCGCACCGCTGATGAGACCTAACCAAGTAAAAACAGCTGTCCAGTGCTTCCTGGCTTTTCAGCTCACACCTCATTTACACGATGAATTCATTATCTAAACAATTTCAAGAGACACATGACCTTAACGAACGCAGGGATCTTGAAGTTCGGTGCCATAAAGTGCGAATGGAATGGAATATGCTGCCGGGACCATAGGTTATTCCCGTTCCGGCACATCCTACTGATGGAAGAGGACTGGGGGCGATCAAAAGATTTATGGAGACACCAACTCATAATCAACAAGGACCTCTTTTGCACTCTGGATGGTGCAATTCAATGTACAGCTTAGTTGGCCCGTAGGGTAAGCTATTCTCACAGCTACTCTGATACAGGTACCCTGGACAGCTGGGAGAGATTTACAGTGAGAGGTATATATCTGCAGGTAAACCCAAGCGATCAGAATTTTCAAGTGTCAGGCTACGATGGCCTTCTATCAAATTTATATGAATATTGTGGGATCAAGCTTGGCATAGAACTGCAAGTTCTGTTTTATCCAAGATTTGGCACATTGAGCAGGTTCCGTTCTTGTGTGCGGGGAAGGGGATAGCTGTTCTACACATTATTAAGAAAAAATTTCACAATTACTGGATAAGTCACAGAAGTACAAACCTAATTTCAGTAGCGTCAAAGCTAAAAACGTACGTCACTCTTCGCAGATATGCGGCTAGTTGTAACGCCTCTACTGGATGCATAGATAGAATCTTCAATTTCCTATCGGTGCTAGAGGACCGTCCTAGTTTCCAAGAACCAGCAACAATGGTGCTCTTAAATATCTGCGCGGCCTTTGATTCCATCCATGGGAATGCACTGCAATCCTGTTTGCTGAGAAATAGAGTACACGAAAAACATCGTTCGACCCCTGAAGATTAGTATCCTCATACCTGAGGTTAGATTTTGCCAATCTTTCCGTTTCCGTTGAAGTGGAATAACGCTACCCTATATCCCCATTTCACTCCAGCTTTAGAACAGGAAGTATCCTAAAGATTCGTTTCTTGTCTACCAAACGGTGGAGTTCAATATCCTCCCGCGGAACAGTTCTTGACCCAGAAACCGATGATAACCGACTTGTTGGATGAAAATACACACGTAGTCCAATTGACTTTGAACAGTGTGGCGGTGACGGAGTTCGAACACCGCATACACGATAACTGATTGATGGTTTACCTGCTCAAACATTCTGTTCCTAATGGGAAGGCAAGGTCATCAAAATGGATTATGATCATCCGATTGTGATTTTGATACAAACATTGAATATTATTCCTCGTCCCTTGGGTGACTAACTCCATTTTCATCTGTTCTTCGAGCGCGATAAACCGATTGCAAACACGACACTGATGATCATGGTGACGTAGCTACGTTGTGTATGAACATCCCGTTGGTACAGTGCACTGATGATGAGTTTAGGAAACGTTTCCCAAAGGAACCACACTAGTTGAAACCCTATAATCCCCTCCAGACGACCTTATAACGGTAAGGATGATCGTCAAGCACTCAAGTAAGAGTCGAAACCCAAAATAGCAGTACTATTTCGTATTTGTAGATTACTAGGTGAACGCACGAAGCAGCAAAACTCGCTATTTTCACCTATGCTCCGGATATGTTGATATATTAGATTAAACAAATCACATCATCTCAATTGCATGTCTTCGCGTCAACCGAGTTGTCAATTTAATATCATAAACTTAAAAACCATTAATGATACTATCCAATATTCAGTCCGTGGCCGAATTCGTTTAGGAATGAGTAGACGGTACACGCTTGTGATTGTTGATTATCATCAGAGTGAACTGGCACATTATACAAAAAACGGAAAGATAACATCATCGCAGCTTACCGTAAGCCCGAGAATAACGGTCGAGTGGCTGGATCACCAAACGATGTGGTATGACGGCGACGATCGGGCACGCTTGCGTCCACTCCCTTATCGAATTGATTCGGTTTTGGTCTTAAATGCACCACTGTACCCTGAACGACTTCCGTAGCTGAACCATCCGTGCGGCCGGACACTTGAGTATTGTCATCAACGCATTTGTCCAATGAAGACAATCGGGTTAAATCATCGTGACTCGCCTCGGTGACTGACTCTAGCCGACTATGGACAATACTCGGCTCTCGTGACACATGTGGAGGAGGAGCGTGACTACGAGACCAGGAAGTGGATCGAGTTTTAGATACAGGTGATCGATTAGTTTGGGTATTGTTCTCCTCCCGTATTAAATGCGATTCGTCTTCATTTTCTTCCGCCTCACCGTCTGAATCCAACCAACCGATATCGGTATCCAGCATAAGATCATCTGAAGCGAGACTACATCCGGACACTGTACTCAGTTCCTTACGGAGCGGAGGTCGAGTAAAAACGGCCACAGGTGTTTCGGGAACAAGAGGGACCGGAGTGGGTGAGCTGCGGGCGGCACTCGGTTGCGGTGGTGAATAAAAGGCCACAGATTGAGAGACCAGACAGCTCACTTTAGGTGATGTGACTTGTGTGGTCACGGTACAGGTTCGGACTGGGGTCGACTTTGTAGATTTATCCGTTCCAATCGGCTGGGATCGCGCAGTGACCGATTTATACGACGGATGCGCACGAACTACATGGGATGGGGGAAATACACCGCAGCACAAATGAAACGAGCGGAGTGCTCGCATATCGGAACACATACAGGAGCGACAGACAAGTAGCAAAGAATATAATGTCCAAGAGTGGATCCGAAGAGAGGCAAACAAGAAAAACCGAACCAGCACAAATATAAATGCGGGTCGATCAGAATCGGAGCCAAACAAAATCTAACAGCGAATAACAACGACGATTTATGCGTATGAGCGAGGGTCTGCGCACGCACGTTTGATACCGCGTTCACGTGATAGGTCACTACCAAACAGTAGAAGCTGTCGGGACGTATTTGTGCTTTCCTGTGCGTATATACAAACGGCAACGCGACTCTTACATCGCGTGAATCGAACCTGATTTGGTGACCTCAATCCACATTCGTACTTCTAGAGAGGTGATGCAACGAACACAAGTGGGTGAAATGACCGATAATCCATGAACCGTGAGTTCGAACAACTGGTATGGTTAGGTACAGTTTAGAAAGGTGGCATGAAAAATTTGCATTTTGTACTATCCAAAGAGCAAGGTGTTGAGGAAAAAAGATACAATCGGAAGAAACTAATGGTTAGTACAATCATCATATGATGGACGAACCCAAAGCCCGAATGGAGGTGTAAATCAAAAACTACAAAATAAGCAACAGTTTCGCGGGAAAAACATCCGACCAGGCAATAAAAAATGAGCACAGTATCGTATGCAACAAAGAGACGGGGGGATGCAAATCTCAACAGGGAGGCTTGTGAATCATCAGGCTCCTACGGAGATTAGTTAAATTAAACTTCGTATTTACGCTTCTGGTTAGTTTGAATGTAAGGGTAGCCATGCGGGGCATGGATTTAGCACCTTAGAAGGGCACAGTACTGAAGATATTTAGGTCCCGATTTCACAAAATCATAGTGTGAAAAGTGGCGGACGCATCACGGATGAAGTTTCGGCATGCATCAAGATAGTTTGATTGGTGTCTATCAACTTAACCACTTTTCGTGCTTCGATCACAAACAGGTGCATTTTTCTCTATTTTTTCACATTCGCTTGAGATGTAAACATATGAAAAGTGCTCTATCCCATTCTGACCATGAAGTACTCGTTGAAATTTTAGAGCTTGGCCTGACAATGTTATCAATCTACTCGTGTGTTTGCAGTTTCTCATACATTATTACTTATACTTATACAATTGCGTTCAATAGATTTATTGCTGTCTACTGTCTTTCTCCTTCAGAGTTAGTGAGAATTGACTAGATAAGCATTATTAACTCGTAAAACAACTCACTGCCGTGACATTTGTTATGTACTGCAATGGTATATTTAGGGTTCACGTTCCTTTGACAGCTTCATCTCACCCAGTGGACGCATCATCGAAGATCCGTTTTCATGTTTACAGAGGACTTGGTCAGCATCCGCAAAGCAAGGTTATCTCTGGCATCGTTGCGACATCCAGTTATCTGTGAAGAGTCCCATGTATGCTGCCGAAGTTTGGTCAGTGTTGCTGTGCAACGCAGAGATTTGGTTATTGCGAAAACAGGATAGATATAGACTACCGGTGTTCAAAAACCGGTCGTAACAACTAAAACTGGAAACCGATCTGGGCCCTAATTATTTAGGAATGCTGTCGAATGTAGTCATGGGTTGCGTCAATGAAGCACACAAAGAAAAGATTTCGCAGATGATTCTAATCAGATAATGCAGGCGTTGCTCTTTATTAGAAGTAGTTTGGATATAATCCGATGTATCCGCCTTGTTACCACTTTTAGATGAGGTAAGTGATCGTAATAGTACGAGCTAATCAGGGGATTTGCTACACTCATC